TTCTCGGCTGATTAACCATGACATGACAAATGTCAACCCACGTGAATTACAATAGGAGTCAGTTTGAAAACCTCCCGCAAATGCAGCTGTTTTGTTGACTTGTTCAGCCAATGGTCTTGCTCATAAAATTCATCATCCTCACCTTGAACAGCTCTTGCCACCGGTCAATAAATCTCGGTTGCCAGCATGTTTATATTTCGTTTTGGCCCTTCTGGATTTAAACGTCCTAATAAAGAATCAGATGACTGCGACGAGGAAGCAGAACTGCTCCTTGCGAAGAGAGAGCGTTTTCGCGAACAATTAGCAACTCAAAAGGCAAAATACATTCTCTCCACAGCCGCTGGCGTTATATTCGGAATTTCCAGCGTTATCATTTACCTTCTATGCGTCGCCTCGTTTTCGCGACTATTTGGAAAAAATGTGGCGTTGAAACAAACCTCATACTGGTGTGGGTATATATATGCTTCTGGCAATCTTCAGTCGAATATCTCCGCTAACTATGCATGGGTGTAGCCAAGGTGCTTGACGAGATCGAAATCCCAACATACACTGTCAAAATGAACGGGACTCTTTTCCCTCCTCCCGATCCTGCTTTCTCACGACAGGAGCCCAGTGAAGCAAATGACATCACCTGGGAAGTGTTCGAGAATATCCGCACCCACGTCGTCACGCGTGATGATATTGTCAAATTAGGCAAGGACCCTGATACTGTCGCGCGATTTGATGACGAGTACTGGGGACTTGGCCAAAATGCGTATATGGCACAATTGGACATTTTCCACGTAGGTCACCAGTAAATGGAGTACATGGAGCGTGTTCACCATCTGTTGCTAATATCATCACTAGCAAATACACTGCCTTAACAGGTTGCGAAAAGCAGCCTTTGCAACATACCCTGGCTACACGCCACTCGAGACGGAGAAGCCCTATTCGAAGATTTGGTGGATTCATATAGGCCATTGTGTTGATATGCTGCTCCAGAATATCAAATGCTATGGAAACGTAGACATGATAACAGTCGCTTGGGTAGGACATGGAAAGCTCTGGCCGGACTTCTCTATCAACCACAAATGCCGTGACTTTGACGCCATAATGGACTGGAACCTGGAGCATGCCGTTGATGTCGAGAAATTTAGTCGAATGCCTATCCCTAAAGACGCCTATATATGGCCGAAACCATGGGAAAATTCCGAAGCTGAGCTTGGTCATCCTATTGAGAAGAATGTCTGGAAAGGGGGAAGACAATGTACCTAAATCTTCTTTTCAGCTAAAACGGCGGGTGAAATGAGGGGCGAAATGTAAACCCTGGAACAAACAAGCAATCCCACGCTTCCCTTTTATATTCTTTTATTTGATATCTTAATATATATCAACAATCTATTCACAATTCCAGTTTTGAGTTTCAATTCCAAGCTATGTAAAACCATGGACTAGACCACAATTGCAATCCTTCTCGCCTTCATGCTCATTGCAAACCACTCGCCTCATGAAGTGAAGATCGCAAGCCATGATCGTACCCGTATTCTTAGTGGTTGCCCCCTATTTGCTCCGCCCTGGGATGCTCCTGCCAAGTCCTCCTCCAACCCTACGTTCCTTCGATCTGGGCGCATTTAAATGGATCTGTTGTATGTTCTACTTCTTTTTGTATCTGTAAAAAATGGCGACTTTCCCCGTGGCACCACTCCATCCAAAAAAAAATAAAATAAAATAAAATAAAAAAAATAAAAAATAAAAAATGAACAAAGAAAAGAAACCCTATCGCTCTCTTCGATGATCCTGTGTTAGCAGGAAGTAGGAACAAACAAGGAAGGTATATCGTTATGGAAATCTTCCAAATCAGAGTCACCCATTCCACTATTCAAACACAATTCGCGCAAGTCTGGCACTTTACAATGTATTATCCCACAATTTTTATGTGTTATGTTTTTAATAACCCTCTCTTGTTTTCCAAATAACTATGAAAAGAATAAAAACGGCAATCTAACATTGGTATTGCCGAGGATTTTAGAGATGGCATGGGAGATAAGAAAAGTCTATGAGCAAAAAGGTATGAGGGAATGTCGTATTAAGGAGGAAATGATACGGATACAGTACATTCCCTCCTCCATTCAGTAAAGGCAGTTTTCTCCCCCTTTCGTCAGGACTTTCAAGGGGTGGGCTTCGGTGGTGTAGACCCATTTGTTCTTCCCTTCCCCAACTATTTGCCAATCTTCTTCTGTTTAAGACAGTTAGCAGGAAAAATAGGTGAATAATACGACGCTGGTGAGGGGAAGGCACGGGAAACTAATCGGCTAAATAGGTGAGTGGAATTGTGTTCCTGTATCAGAGTAGGCTTACCCGGAGCAAACGTCAAGTAAGCATATTTCAACACCTCAGCGAAAAGGAAGCTCTCTTGGAAATCCAGCTTCCTGCCACCAGTCGGATCATTTACGTTACTAATCGAGCTGAAGCCGGAGCCCGTACGACAACTCTTGTGAATGGCATCGAAGGCTTCCCATACCCATTCCTGGTACTGCTCTTGAAATTAGCTATCTATGAATGTGAAGATCTTGGAGAGAGAACAATGTCAACATGCATCTTTCTCTTACCATGCGGTCCCCAGTCACCCTGTATGCATAATAATAACTTTCAATGACCTCAGGTCTCAGATTATATTGGCTGCTGGTGATGTAGAACCCATTCTTTTCGAAAAATTTCCTTTGGTCTTTTGGCACGTTCGTTGGATCCCAACTGAATCCCTCTGGACCAATTCCCGTAGCGGTTGAATGATACAAGTGATAACAACCCTTGACAAGTTCTAAACCAAAGTCGATAAAATCTTGCCGGCAAAGAACTTGTCCACCCAGAAGGAAATTTCCGCCATTGAAGCAACTTAGATGCTGGGAATTGAAGTCAAGTTTGTCGTTTTCAAATTGAGCCAGATAAGTATATTCGTTTTTGTTCGAAGATATCGTAGATTTCAAATGTTTAATTGACGATTCAATCGCAAGAACCCATCTTAAATGCTCAAGTATCAGCAGGAAAAACATAAAATTTGGATAGGGAGGGCATAAGGAGTCTCACCTGTCTCGGCAAACTTCAAAACGACTCTCATCATATATAAACATTTTGATTAAGTATTCGTAGAAGGAGTCGGCACCTCCACCCCAGCTGACATCCGCATTCACGAAATGTCCAGTGGTTATATTAATATTTGATCCAATAAGCCCCGGAAAGGGTTCGCTTTCCTGTGGTTTTGGGGCAAGAAGATATGATTCGCCTTTTGCGGCAAGTTTGCCATACTCCGGGTCACCAGTAAGATCGGACAAATGCATCCCTGCGTCGAGTAAGCAGGCTTGTATCGGAAAGATTGCGGGTTGAACTCACATTCTAGGACCAGAGTTCCAGCTTGCGCGATTGAATTTGAAGTCATGCCATCCTATTCAGTGTTAGATATAGTTACCCTTGATCTTTCTCTAAGTGGAATATGACGCATTCATGATCACACTCCCCTGTACCTCCTTCAACACGGCGGAGGCGCATAGTTCTTACCATCGACTTCTTACTAATGTGCAAATTATTCGATGGGATACCGGTTGGAGTGTCAAAAGCGTATTTCATGATATCAGCTAATGTTTTAGATTGCACGAGGAGCGAGTTGATAAGGTCCGGCTAGGATTTTTGTCAACAGAGCAATAAGATAAATTAAAATAGACTATAAGACCTGGGTCAATACTTACATTTTGGCCCATGTCATTCTCTCTCAGCAAATCGTAGCCCGAAAGCATTCCTCCCAAATAACGTATTGTGGTCTCGAAAAGGCTAACTTCCGTGTCCGTTTTCGAATAGTCAAGTTTCGAAATATGCTCCAGAATTGACTTGACAATTTCAGGGCTATCCATTATAATCGCGGTTGAAAGAGCATCGACCGCTGAAGCACCCCAGCCATTTCTACTGAGACATTAATTTCTGAAGTATATATAGAATTATATATGGGGAGTCGACATACCGTGAGTTGCTTGCAGTGTTAGAGACTGGGCGCAGTTCATCCTGAGGAAACGCATATTCCATGTAGCCACTCCAAGCAAATTCAAAGGCGTCTTTAACCTCCTGTGCTCTTTTGGCGTTCTTCATTGAATTGGAATTCTCTTGGTTGGCTACAGGAGACGAAACCACGTATCCGACCAGAGCAAACGCCGTTAAGACGACCCTGACAAAAGCGTGCCGCATCTTGAAGAACAATCTGAACTTAAAGATGCAACAATAATAAACTCATCTATCCAAAATACTCAAGAGTTGTTTATCGATAATTGAAGGCATGAAAGAATGAACGAAAAACTAGAAGAGAAATCTGTCAAAAAACAGACGAATGCCAAAGAATCAGGCAGGAACTACTAGTCACAGAAAGCGCGGTTAAGCATCTTTCTCTAGCAGAAGCTGCTGCGAGAC